TTCCCCCCTTCTTTCTCTTCCTTCCCCCCTTTTCTTCTTTCTCTCGTGGAGAGAGGTTTTCTTGTTGTTTGTCCTCTTCCAGCTTTGCTCCTCACTAAATAAAGCAAAATAATCTTGCTACTTTTCCCCAATTAACTTTTGTGTCTTAACTTTTTAGGTGGCTGGTCGCAAAGGATTCCCTCATGTGATTTACGCTCGTCTTTGGAGGTGGCCTGATCTTCATAAAAATGAACTCAAGCACGTTAAATATTGTCAGTATGCTTTTGACTTAAAATGTGACAGTGTCTGTGTAAATCCTTACCATTACGAGCGTGTAGTATCGCCTGGCATCGGTAAGTAAATTCTTAATTTCCAATGGAACAGTGGGAATAAAATGTCAAATGTTTTCCTTTTGAAAATGGAGAAATTGCCTTTTGAATGTAGAAAATACAACCTTAAATTAGAAACATTAACTTTTAATGATCTGATTATAAATTACTCTCTTATGCTCTTGTCCAGCTTCTTAATGGAATTATTCTTTTACCTTTAGTCCAAATTTGAATCCATAGTTTGTGGCTTTTTAAACCTTTCTTGTTGGCTTTACACACAGTTCTTAGAGTTAACACAGATCTAATGTTGAGACTTGTGTTGTGACAGAGGGTTTATAATATGTAGAGTCTGTAATACTAATTAAAGGCTTATAAGCTTAATATGCAAATATCATTGAAGATCTCTGTGTATATAATCCCCCACACCCCCTTTTTTCTTTTTTTCTTCTTTTTAAAGATCTCTCAGGACTGACACTACAGAGTTCTGGTAGGTAATTCTGTTTTCCTGTTGCATTTCTATGGACACAAACTGTGTGTGAAACTCTTGGAGTATATACACAATTTATTCCTGTCTATCTCCTTGGGGAGGGATTATAGAGAGCAGATGGAAAGGCATTTGTATCTCCCAATTTTGGAAAACCAGCTAATGAGAGGCAAGTATGGATCAATTCTTTACATTGAAGCTTCAGTTCAGCTTGGAGGTGTGTTCTGTTTTCATTGCCTGCAACTTAGAAACCCCAACCAACCAAAAAGAAAGAAGAAAAACAAAAACATGACTGTTGAGTGCTGCTAATTAAAAAAAACCCAACAAATAAAACATCAAAAAACCACCCAAAAACCATGGGCACCTGTATGATGTACTAATTAATAGAATTGGGATTAGATGCTTATGATTTAAGTGGTAGTTTAACAAGAAAAGAATAAAAATTCTATAATTAATATGCACTTGAAGAAAGCAATCTAATATTCTTATATCCCTGAAATTTGAGAGAAATTGGACATTAAATGTCCAATTAATTGGACATTAAATACCCAATTAACATTATTCAGCAATCTGAGATTGTGCAGCTGGTAACTGCTTTATTTCCAAACTGATTTCTATTTATTTATTTATTTATTTATTTATTTATTTATTTTCCTTCCAGAAGAAATTCATAGAGAAGGGAAATTTAGGTAAACCAATGTTTTTAGCACATTATTAGAAATATTCAAATCAAAATGACTTTTTAAAAAACCCCCTCAACCAACCAACCCAACACATGGCAAAAAAATTTCAAAAATTACATTTTTCATGGGAGTAAAAAATGGAAAAAAAATTCAAAAATGACATTTTTCCTAGGAGTAAAAAATGGAAAAAAAAATTCAAAAATTACATTTTTCATAGGAGTAAAAAATGGAAAAAAATTCAAAAATTTCGTTTTTCCTAGGAGTAAAAAATGGAAAAAAAAATTCAAAAATTACATTTTTCATAGGAGTAAAAAATGGAAAAAAATTCAAAAATTTCGTTTTTCCTAGGAGTAAAAAATGGAAAAAAAAATTCAAAAATTACATTTTTCATAGGAGTAAAAAATGGAAAAAAATTCAAAAATTTCGTTTTTCCTAGGAGTAAAAAATGGAAAAAAAAATTCAAAAATTACATTTTTCATAGGAGTAAAAAATGGAAAAAAATTTTCAAAAATTACATTTTTCATTTTTTTTATGTTCTTAGTTGTACACTAGGAATTAGTTTATTAGCTTCTGCATTAATATCTATTTAGGTGCTTGACAAGAAGCATGTTTTTCCCTTTTATTAACCTTATCTGATCACACCACGACAGACTAGAAAACAAAACGCTATTGGAACCTGCTCTGGTGGGACTAAACTTATTTATTTGATAACAAGAAGCAAAATAAACAGTTTCCAAATCTCCTACTGCTGACTTGAAGCATTTAATTGTCATTTAGAGGAGTGCTTTAGCGATGTTGGTGGAGGTTAAATCCTCCTCCCAGTGGTTTTAGTAGCATTGTTACCTCTTGAAAGTCGCGGCGCGATTTCTAGTTAAATCCTCAAAAAAATTAGATGTGCTTTGGCTGTTTTAACCCTTTGCTTCTTCACAGCTCCATCAAGCATGTTGGTGAAAGATGAATACGTTCATGACTACGAAGGACAGCCGTCATTACCTTCTGCTGAAGGTCATTCAGTCCAAACCATCCAGCATCCACCAAGTAACAGGGCATCTACAGAGCCTTATAGCACCCCAGCCATGTTAGCTCCTACTGAGGCTAGCACTACCAGCACCACTAATTTTCCCAACATTCCTGTGGCTTCAACAAGTAAGATCATCTGAGATTATATGAAATATTAAACTCTGAACATGTGAAAACTCACAGATAATCACTGATTTTTGCCCAAAGTAGATCTTGCATTGGGACAATGCTGCTGCCACACTATGATGAAGCGTGTGGTGGTGTGATCTCCACAGTCTCTGAAGTGTTAACAAAAGATTTTAAGTTTCAGCTTAATTTGAGTAACTTTTCCTGGTGTCCCAGTCTTTTTTTTTTTCAGCAAGACTCACCCTACATGAGTATTCCAAGACTATATTCCAAGACTATTTTGGATAAGCCAAAGATTCAGTGATACCATATTCAAGCAGTTGACCGCTGACAAAACATTTTACAACTCTTAATTATTTGAATAATTGTAATATGAATGAAAGAATTTGATTATTTTATTACAACAGCAAGCAAATATACTGTTGAGAAGCTTCCAGATAATTCTTTTTAGTGTTCCACAGCTGACAAAATTGAGTCTTCCCATTTTAACTTGATTATTTTTATAATGACCTACTGTCTTACCAAAGTGACAGGTCTAATTAGTATTTTCTTGAGTCCGTGGGAGTGCTGCCTTGAAATTTTGCCTTCCTTTTCTGTGTCTATTTGGTACAGGTGAAAGAATCTGATTTACCAATATCAAACCTCACACTTCAGTAGAACAGTAAAACAGTTACATACACAGTGTCCTGCAGCCCTAAGTAGGGAAACAGTGACGTTCAGAGGGGTTTCACGTGCTCTTCATCACTTTAATATCAATGATGTGTGAATATAATGGATTTAATTTTATCAGATTTGAATTAGAGTGGGGTGATGTTTTGATAATGTTCTTTAATTTTCTAGGTGATGACCTAAATGATGGTTTTGCTAAGCTGAGATATGATATTTATATTTGTCTCCCACAGAGAAAGAAAGGATAGGCAGTTTAATTGTATTGCCTTTTCATAACACAATTTATAGTTAATAATTTTTTTCTCATCAGTGTTATCATTGTTGGAGCCAAGGACATGAAAAAACAACCTGCTTTTAGGTTTTAGTTCAAAGTTTTCCATGTGTTAAATTCCTTTAGTTTGAGAGTGCGAGTGTATTTGTGAAACTCCTGGTCAGTTTAGTGTTAATGGCTGAGCTGAAGCCTTTTAAAATCAAATTCTGATAACCTGTTCTAAAATATCTGTAGTTTTACTTCAAAGCTTAGACAATTCTTGAAATATTTATTTGAAAAACCAAACCAAACCAACAGTCACTTTCTGAGGAAGGAGTCCAGTGATTTATGCAGCTCTATTCTAGCACTATTATTAAAAAATAAAATACTGTTCAGTTTATTTTGGAAGAATGTAAATTTAAATGAGTGTTCTCCTTAGGAAATGCTGAAAATAAGCAACTTATTGGACCTACTGTTGGTCTTTTTGGATTCATACCAAATCTACTCCGACTATGTTATTTGATACAACTTATGACATCTCTTCTTCTTGCCTTTCAAACTGAAAAATGAGATGTGAACAACACAAAGATGTGGTTGATGAACAGAATTCTCTGCATACTTCTCCTAAAATAATATATTTAATAATATAATATAATTAAGGGTGTCAGAGTCAAAATGAGCTGGTGCAGAACATCTTACTTTGAGTTTCTCAAGACACTCTGGTGGGTGGAAAAAAAAAAACCCAACAAATAAAAACACCAAACTTGTAGGAATTATGTATTTACAGTGCCCTTAGTTGGGTGTATTTTCCTACCCAGTAGTGCTGAGTTCTTCTTAATTAAAAACCATTTTGGAACGTTCATGAATAGGTAGTGTGTTCTTTTACCAGGTCAACCTACCAGTATATTGACAGGTAGCCATAGTGATGGACTCTTACAGATTGCTTCAGGGCCTCAGCCAGGAACTCAGCAGAATGGGTTTACAGCTCAGCCAGCTACTTACCATCACAGTGAGTATATACATACGTGCACTCTTCTTAGTTTTCTAAAAAAAAAATAAAAAAATACCAGTTCAGGAGAAATAGAGGATTAGAAATGAGATTGGGGGGAAAAAACTCCCTTAAAAACCAACTGCTCCTTTTTTTTGTTGGTTTTTTTTTTTTTTGTTTTCTTTTTCTAGACAGTACTACAACTTGGACTGGAAGTCGGACGGCGGCCTACACACCTACCATACCTCACCATCAGAATGGCCATCTTCAACATCATCCACCTATGCATCCTGGACATTACTGTGAGTACTGCACATTTTCAAATCACTTTATTTTCAGTTTTGGTGAATGCTAAGGGCTCATTCTTTACCCTCAAATCCTTTTTTTAAAAAAAAATATTATTATAGATTCATAGAATCCCAGACTGGTTTGGGTTGGAAGGGACCTTAAAGCTCATCCAGTTCCAACCCCCCTGCCAGCAGCAGGGACACCTTCCACTAGACCAGGTTGCTCAAAGCCTCATCCAACCTGGCCGAGAACACTTCCAGGGAGGATCAGCCACAGCTTCTCTGGCCAACCTGGGACACTGGCTCACCACCCTCACACCAAACAATTTCTTCCTCACATCTCAGCTCCATCTCCCCTCTGACACTTTCAAGCCATCACCCCTTGTTCTCTCACTCCCTGCCCTTGGCCAAAGTCCCTCCTCAGCCTTCCTGGAGCCCCTTCAGGTACTGGGAGGCCACTAGAAGGTCTCCCCCGAGCCTTCTCTTCTCCCGCAGCCTGTCCTCACAGCAGAGCTGCTCCAGCCCTGGCATCGTCCTGGTGGCCTCCTCTGCACTGGCTCCAGGAGGTCCATGTCCTTGTGCTGTTGGTGGCCCCAGCACTGGAGGCAGCACTGCAGGTGGGGTGTGAGGAGAGCGGAGCAGAGGGGCAGAATCCCCTCCCTCCACCTGCTGCCCACGCTGCTTCCTCACATCTCATCTCCATCTCCCCTCTTCCAGTTTCAAGCCATTTCCCCTTGTTCTATCGTTAACTGCCCTTATGAAAAGTCCCTCCCCAATTATAAAACTGCCTTTACTGTGCTTACTGTATTCTGCCAATTAAATATAAGAGCTTGATGGACTTTCCTCCCTTAAAGCAGCAGAGATTAGAAATTCAGATAGCTCTGGTGATACCACCTTACACTATAGATATCTCCCTGTACCTAACAAAACATCCCCTTTCTAAACCTCTTGTTTTTAAAGCTTTGCTCTCTTGTAGTAAATACTTCCTTTGCAGAAAAGCAGGTTGATTCAGAATGTGGTGTTTGGATAATTTTCTTTCACAACTTAGAATGCTCCTGACTGTTTTTCTTTTCTAGCAATTTTGAAGTCATGTCTTAACGATGTAACCATCTACATTAAGCTTTGGAAGATGCATGACCATGTATATTAACCAGTTTAAAAAAGCTTTGTGAAAGCTCCTGCAATAATGTCCTTGTCAATAAAATGATCTTGCCACAGCCTGATTTATGAGGACATTTGTCACAGAAACTTTAAAATCTTTTTCATTTATATAATAAGACCTCAACCTCTTGTTTTAAGCTACAGGAGATGGGAAGAAAAAAAAAATCAGTGGTCAAACTCAGTGTCTAGCACAGTATATGTGTTATAATAGTGCAAAAAAACCCACCCCAATTAAAGTTTTTCTAAATTTTGTGGCAAAAAAGTGAGACTGGATCTTTATTTGCTTAAATAAAGATCTTATTTAAGCATATATTTGCTTAAATAAAGATCTTATTTAAGCGTATATTTGCTTAAATAAAGATCTGATACTTAACCAGATCACCTGTTTGCAGCAGTGGAGGGGAGACTGTACTGTGAGTTAATGTCAGGGTGACTTTTTAACTTGCCTCTAGCAAGAAAAATTGTGGTTTAGATATAGTTATTAAATCTTATTATTTTATTCTGTTAGGATCCCACTTCATTTATCATCTAATTTGTTAGAAATACAAGGATGTGATCACTTCAGTGATGCTGTAGATACTCTAAATGTTTTCTCAGTGCATGTATCTTTCCATAATTAATATTTGTAACTGGCTGGTGATAACCACATGGATTTATTTTCTTGGCTGCTGCTGTTTCTCACTTCAGAAAGTCGCATGTTTTGACACCTCCTGACTTTGTGCCTGTTTTGACATCTTGTTGTAAAAACTGCTCTTATAATCCTGTGTTTAAGTCTTTCCTCCTTCTTCTCTGCTGCCTGTAAGGGACCTAGTTAGTTTAGAAAAGCAGAGGGAATAAACTGACCAAAACTGTATTCCAATATTATTTTTTCCTTGAGAAAATGAGTTCTTTAGGGCATTTTTCCATCTTCAGGGATTGTTTCTTATTCTCAAGTCCACAGCATGCTGGGCAGCTTGTTCTGTGATTGATGAAACTATTGAAATGTGATTTCTGACAGATTTTTATCGCATGTTTCTATACATTGATTCTCTTCTTGCCCATCTTAGGGGCAAATGTGAAGCTTAAATCCTATTTCTATTGCATCTCCATATTCCATCTGGTTTCTGCTCCCTCCTGGAGCTGGGTTTGGCTTGAGCAGCATGCAGCCTTTCCTCCTGGGATACTAATGAGCTCTTTGCTTTTACTAAGCTTCTGAATTTTGAGGAAACCTCCAAAAGTGTAATTTTGCTGTGGGTATTTTTCTCCCTTATCAGATTTGGTCAATTGATTGAGAAATTACTGGGATTTATAACATCTGGCATCCTCCTAAGTCTGTTTTTATAGGAAAACAAATTAAGAAAGAAAACCTCATTTATCCTTGTGTAAAATAAATTGCTTGTTTTCTTTTAAAGGGCCAGTTCACAATGAACTTGCATTCCAGCCTCCTATATCAAATCATCCTGGTGAGTACAATCTTAACATGAAATGCTAATATTGTAGAAACTAATAACTTTCTGCTCTGAGTCTGATTCCATATTTATGAGATACATGTTCAAAAGGAGAGGAAAGAAGGAAAAGAACCATTTTTTATGATAAATCTTCTTTTGAATTTGGACATCTCTTTTTGGAATGGTGATATTGAATTAAATTGCCCATTCAATTTAATTTAGAAGCCTAAATCAAAAATTGCAACCCTCAAACCCACACTGAGCAAGGTAATATTCTGTTTTTCACAACAACAAAACTCTTGCCTGCACAGGGAGAGCTGCATAGTTGAAAAGCCTCAAAGTTTAACTTGTTTATTTGTTGGCCAGTAACTAAATCAGGACCAGAAATAAAACTGTTGATAATTGCTGGCAGAACTTAACTAAATTGCATTGGCTAAATTGTATTTTGTATTAATTAGTATTTTTTCACCCTATTCAGTCCTCAGAGACATGAATATTTATTTGAAGAAAAAAAATTAAAGGAATTCATGCACTTTGGTTTATTCTTTTCTAATAAAACCAGAACAACACTTTTCTTTCTCTTTTTTCCCTGTCAGCTTATCAGGCTGCTGTGTTGAGGTCCTATCACCTGAGTTCTTCTGTTTCCCTTATTTTAGGTACACTCTAGTGCTGATTTTCTTTACCCAACAAGCTGCTCATGTGCCAGCTGTGTTACCCTTTCATGAAAATGGATCTTTCTAGTCAGGAAAGATGCCAAGTCCCTGAAAATCCCCGGTGATTTAAGCTTATGGCAACTTTAGCTTTGAATGTGTCTGTAGAGAGAAACTCTTAAACCACTTAAAAGCACACAGAGCTTGACAAGCCAGTCACTCCCAGGTAGCACACAAGCAGCAGATATGTACAAAATAATTTAGTGGGCTTTTTCAGGTTTCCTCATCTCCTGGAGTGTTTGATTTTTCAGTTAGCATCCTCTAAGGAATCAGGATTTCCTTTCCAAGGGTAGTTTCTTCCAAGTATCATCACTTTGTAGCCAGTTTTTCGTTAGTCTTGAGTTAAAAGGCACCTCATTTTGGTTTGCTCCTTTGCTTAATACTTCCTTGTTTTAGCCCATGCCTGACTTTCTTGTGTGCAGACAAGATCAGTATGTGATCTTTGATGGTTTGTTGGGTTTTTTTTCCCCTCTCCCTGCTTTCCAGATCTAGTTTGCTTTGCAGGGAGGGTAGAGAAAATTAACTTCACCTGAGTGGTAGTTACTCTTATATCATTTAAGCCAGATGTGCTTGAGAGTTAGTTTCTATCAGCCTAGCCATGAAGAGGCATTTATCTATTAGTTCTTGATGCTAAAGGAGGATGAAATCAAACTGTAGTCATGTAGTCAAAATCAAGCTAAGGTGCAGTAATGCAAATAGTTTACAAAATTTAACTGGGATTATAAACTCTACAAAGACTTGGAAGATCTTAACTACACAAAAAAACCCACCCTAGCATTGATGTGTGCTCAAATAAAAATGACAAGCTCATGGTTGTTGTAGTATGTAGTATTTTTCTGTCTGTCTGAACTTGCTTATGTGAACATGTGCTCTTATTCTGAATGATAAATGCAGTTAATTGATTGTTTAAGGCTTAATTAATGGGGTTTTTAAGGGGTTGGGGTTTTTTTTGGTGCTTTTCCATCAATTAATTGTATCTCTTTCTATCTCAGCAGCATTGTCCCTGCTGCTGGCAGGGGGGGTGGAACTAGATGATCTTTAAGGTCCCTTCCAACCCAAACCATTCTATGATGATTCTCTTCTTTAGCTCCAGAATATTGGTGTTCAATCGCATATTTTGAAATGGACGTGCAAGTTGGGGAAACATTTAAAGTCCCTTCAAGCTGTCCCATTGTTACTGTTGATGGATACGTGGATCCTTCCGGAGGAGACCGTTTTTGTTTGGGTCAGCTTTCCAACGTTCATCGGACAGAAGCCATCGAGAGAGCAAGGTATTCTGCACATCCCAAAACTTCAGCTCTCTGCTGTTTTTTTCCTGTCAGTTTATCAGGATTTGATAATATTTTGTTTTATCTTCAGTGTTGGCTTCCTTTTTTGAAATAATAGTGTTTTTTTTAAAAACTGAATTAACTAGAGTATATCTTTCTAAGCTGTGATACATTCAAAATGTGGACTGTGTGACAAAGACAGTGAAAGAAGACAGGCTGAAAGAGTTGGGGCTGTTCAGCCTGGAGAAGAGAAGGCTCTGGGGAGACCTTCTAATGGCCTCCCAGTACCTGAAGGGGCTACAAGAAACTACAAGAAGGCTGGGGAAGGACTTTTCATAAGGGCAATTAATGACAAAACAAGGGGAAATGGGTTTAAACTGAAAGAGGGGAGGTTTAGGTTAGATATTAGGAAGAAGTTCTTCACTGTGAGGGTGGTGAGACAGTGTCCCAGGTTGTCCAGAGAAGCTGTGGCTGCTCCTCCCTGGAAGTGTTCTTGGCCAGGTTGGATGAGGCTTTGAGCAACCTGGTCTAGTGGAAGGTGTCCCTGCTGCTGGCAGGGGGGTTGGGACTGGATGATCTTTAAGGTCCCTTCCAACCCAAACCATTCTATGATTCTATGATTTAAGACCTTCAGTGCTTTGCAGTAGCTTTTCATTGCTTTTAAATATGCCTTCAAGGAGAAAATTAGCAACTCATGCCATGATGTATGCAAGCTGAATATTAAGCTCTCCACACCACAGAGTGACGTGGGAATAACTGCAATATATAGATTTGTGAAAGGAGCAAAAGCAGGTTGATATGAGTTGGATTTTCATTCATTCTCACCACGCCTCTGCTAGGCTTTGATGTGGAAGTGTAGAGAACTGAAGCAATCTTGCCACTTTTTTATTTCCCCCCCTTCTCTTTGAAAAGAAAAGGAAGAAAATGATTCCATGTCTTCAGAAATGTTGCAGTGTGACAATCAAGATGTTAGCTTGCTGTCACGGGATCCAAATGAACATACAGTTCTGCATTAAAATGTGGCTTTTTATATGTACTTGGGTGACTTTCTAGACTAGAATATTTGTGGGTTTTTACACTTCTGAGCAGAAATGAATGTGTTTTATATCCCATATTGTCAGTGAGTGCAGTGGTTGCTACTGGGATATCATCGCTTCTGTGTTCTCTCCAGTTTCCATAGATCTTCACATGGTATTACACGTGGATTTTTTACTTTACAGATTTTGTGTAGAATCATAGAACTGCATAGGTTGGAAGGGATCTTAAAGCTCATCCAG